TATTGTATTGACGGGATAACAGTCAACGCATGTACATGCACATGAAAGTCGCCTTGCGTTCTTCACATTTTAAAAGTTGGCTCCTAATTTTTCGGGGTTCGCCTGTGATTTGATCTAGTCGAATACGTAGACTTCTACAGGGCCTTCTAAGTAATGCGCGCCGGGTATAATTCAAACCTCTGCCCCCATCGGTACCATTACCCCTAAAGCAAATCGTCTCCAGGAGACGAAATACCTCTAACGCTACTGTACCGGTACGTATAAATAAATCCTCCGCTCCAGCAATTACAAGTACTACTACAGAGTACATGTACGGCACTGCAGTACTGGCTACTAGTAGTACGATGTACCCCAAACACCCGGCCGAATACTACTGGTAGCTTCTGCCGTACACGGTACGACTGTACTGTAGTATGGTACCGTAAAGGTACAACTAGCCTACCGGTACCGGTAGACCTGCACCTGGCCCAAGTCAGGGTCTAACACCAGGACCTACACCCAATCCAACACCTGGCCCTCTCAACAAGCCCCTGGCCCAGCACTTACTTTTGTTCTCAAGAAGATCCACCATCTGGTCCTGAATGGGACCAGCTCTTTTCCCATTCTTGGCTGGACGGCTTTCCCCAGCGCCATCGCCTGGGCCAATCCAGCGACTGGCGCTTTCCGTAACACCAGACGCATGGATATGCTCCTGGTTTGAACCAGCCAGCTGCACCAAACATGTCCCAACACAAGGACAAACGACAGGCCTAACTCCCAGGCTGTCTATCTCTAGTAGGACCAACACTCGGCTTGACTCTTGGTCGCACCCCAGGGCCCATTCCTGGAACTATGCATACACATGACCTGCTTCGATTCGATTCGATGGCCCAAGCTCAACAGTTAGTTTGCCTGACAGCCTGACAGTACTGCGACTGTAAGCTAATACGGTGTGTGTTCTTTTATTAAAACGATGGCCCGATGCCTCTGAGACTGGAGCAAGTGAGAGTCGTCTCTAAGAGATACGGTACGCATAAACCTCGGAAAATTCGATGCCCTTCCAAGTCTTGCGACTGTAGTACTCTTTTACTATGGAGAAGCAAGCCAATCGCGTTTGGGAAAGGTCACAGATCTTGTATGTGCCCTGGATCTTGCTGCCACAAGAAGGGTCACTTTTCACATTTCTCTCGCTTCGAAAGAGAACCCACCCAACAGACTCAGCACAGAGAGCAATCCGAGAGCAACTTCTTGGCAGGATACACATAGGTTACTGGCTTGGTTGTGTTGGCTCTGTTAGTTTGCGTTGACTTTCGTTGCTGATTTTGCCACAACCTGCATTCTCAGAAGAGGATTGACGAAAGCAGAAGAGAAAATGAAGTTTCTATCGGGCAAAGCCATAGTAGCACTGAGTGCTGCATTGATGGTATCAAGTGCTCTGGGTCAGGATGCAACAATAGATCCTACTGGTACCATCGCTCCAACCATGTTCGACAACTGTGAGATAGAGATGTACTACACGAGTCTTCTGCAAGCATCTTCTCCTTCCAACTGGACCCAAGAAGCCTTGTCTGCACTGATCAAGGAGACACATCGCAATATCCTACCCACACACGGCAAGACAGGTGATGATGATGATCTCTACAAGGCCATTATCGACCTCGATCCGGGCAATGAATCTGGTACGGTTCGACTGGTCTACCGAGATATTAATGCCGCTGATTATCCCAACGCCAATCCTCTCTACTGGGGTGCTGAGCGATTGTGGCCCCAAAACCGAGGATACGATTCCTTCTCACCGGCTTTTACGGATGTACATCACATTAAACCAGCCAAGTCAACGGTACTCATGAGCAAGGGAAATTTGTCCTTTGGAATGTGCGACACGGTGGAATTCCAGACAGAGTGTGTGGTCCCAGCCACTACGGAAACAGCCAGTGATACAGCACAAGACGGAAAGATTTGGACGCCCCCCGAACGCTTCCGTGGAGAGATTGCCAGGGCTCTCTTTTACATGGACTTGCGGTATCAACAGTTGAATTTGCAAGATTGTGGTCCATTTGTCAATTCCATGGGATATAAATCACAATTGCTAGAATGGCATGACGCCTATCCTCCCACTGAGGACGAACTGTTCCGCAATGACAAGGCGTGCTTTCGTTGGCAAGGAAATCGGAATCCATTCGTTGATTACCCTGAACTGGCGCAATCGTTCTTTGGCACACCCGAACAAATTGAACCTGGAACAAGGACGTATCCTACCTGTATCAAGACTTTCCCACCATGGCTCCCACCAACAAGAGAAATGATTGTGGTCCATTCGTAGGCGATGTTCCGTCTTCTTGGTCAATACTAAAGATCCGGATGAAGTGGTCTTCTTGCCCATGTTTGATATTCCAGGTGAAATGGAGTTGTTCATTACGGATCAAGCCTGGAATGGAACTGGATTGGTGACTGGAGTGCCAAATGAAGGCACAATGGTGGTAGGTTTGCTCCTTTTGTCCAGTCGATTGTTGATCTTTCTCTTCGCCCTTCAATTACTGACCTTTTGTCGTTGTCTTTTTGTCGCTGGTTTCATGGCACTCTCAGATGACGACACCGGAAGACGGCATTGAGCAAGGTGACCTCTTTGGAATGGGACCTGGTGTCGATTATGGAGACACTTGGTCCGATATTGAGGGCGCATTCAGCCTGAGTACAACCTTTGGCGACATGTTTTCTTGTACTGTATTGATGCCGACGACAAGATACGTTTCTTGGCAGGATTCTCGAATAGCGGCAATTGGAGCATGCCTGGATTGTCTGCAGAGGACTACGGCGAAGCACTGACAGCCCTTCCGGAGCAGTTGGATCAAGGCTCCATTGTGCTGCCACATCTGGACAACTACTTTTACAACGGATCTCGTAATGAAACCATTGCCTTGCTGCGGGCAGATATGCTCAATCCAGCTTCATGGGTTGGTGACAATGAAGGTCGATTCGGAGTGGAGCAGCAGCAATCGCCACTTTCAGGTGCCAGCATGTTGTCAGTTCAATCGGCTGTATCAATGACGGGTGTTCTTATCACTGCGTTTCTGGTGTAAATCACAGCCTTGGGAGATGCCCCGCCGTATCAAGGCCGCAATGGAGCTGGTCGTCGTTGAGTTATCATTCTTCCCGAACTAGCTGGTGCAAGGGACGAGGCGACTGAATTGGTTGCGATTAAAGCCAACCAACTGCAAAACACAGTAACGTTATTGTTTCATTAGAATGCTTGTCTTCTACTTTCGCTCGCCGGCCGGTAAAAGTAGCTTCCTTCGCAACCGTAGAGGTAAGGATACGGAGGCTGAGGAGGATCGAACATGTGTTGCCTTTGTACAGACATCGTTGTGGTGTAGCGCCAGCACATGCTTCGCGTCGTTTACGTCATGTTGGCTTCGTTGGATGAGCCAGTCATCGATCGACGATCGATACATTGTCATAACAAGAGTATAGCAGCATGCCATTGAAATCATACCAGCTCGGGATGGTTTTCATTGCTACTAGCTAGCTAGGCACCTGACAGTCAAGTTGGAGAATTTTGAAGAGCAAGGGTAAGTCTCCGGTTTTTTTGGTATCAGAATAGAAGAGACAGCCATACATCTATCTATTTACGTCTTCCTTTCGATTGCCGAGGAAATGTCATGGTCGAGTCGAGTCGAGTCGAGTCGAGTCGAGTCGAGTCGAGTCGAGTCTCACCCTCATCATCTGCTGCCAGCCGACTCGGCAGAAGAGAAACAAGCAACTTCAAGACAAACTACAAGAACTCTGCCAAAATGCATCCTTTACTAAATACAGTTTATGTTTCGTTGTGAAAACGACAACGTGCTCAGTCACGTTCGTAGTTGAGGATTGGCGACAACCAACGCTCAGTCACAGAGAGCTCCATCTTCTTTCTTGCGGCGTAGCTCTCGACTTGATCCTTGCCGACCTGACCGACAGCAAAGTATTGCGACTGAGGATGGGCGAAAACAAGAGCGGAAACGGAGGCTGCGGGCATCATACTGAGAGACTCGCTCAACTCGATTCCGGCCAATTCCTTCGCCTTGATGACGTCCCACATGGTCTTCTTCTCCGTGTGATCAGGTTGCGAGGGGTAGCCAGGAGCTGGACGAATTCCGTCGTACTTGATCTTCAAAAGATCCGCTTCGTTCAACTGCTCGCCAGCAGCGTAGCCCCACATTTCCGTTCGGATGGAACGGTGCAAGTACTCAGCGAAAGCCTCGACAAAACGATCCGCAAGAGCCTGGGCCATGATCTTGCTGTAATCATCGTTCTCTGACTCGTACTTGGTCACCAGGGCATCGCATCCAAAACACGAGACGGCGAACATACCCAAGTGATCCTTGTAACCCTTCGGTGCGATAAAATCAGCTTGCGACAGGTAGGGATCATCCGATTCCTTCTCTGCCTGTTGACGCAACATGCAGAAAGTGTTCGAGGGCTTGCCAGATTCTCTGTCCTCCTCGGTCTCGTAGATGTGCACATCCTCGCCATCCTCACTCCTGTTGGCGGCGTACAGTCCAACGACACCCTTCAGGTTCATGCTCTTGTCCTCGATGATCTTCTTCATCATGTCCTGCGCGTCATTAAAGAGCTTCTTGGCCTCGGTTCCCACGGCTTCATCGTTGAAGATCTTGGGATAACCACGGTTTGGGTAGCGTCCTCGTAATTCCCATGTCTGGAAGAAGGGGTTCTGATCATTCAAAGGAAAGGACGCGCGTGAGAAATAGGTTGTTACGAGCAAAAGGGAATATGGGCAGAGCGAACTTACCCAATCAATATACGGCACAACATCCGCAATCGAAACGGAATCAATTACCGTTGTTCCCAGTTTCTTCGGTGCCGGAGCAGGAGGAACCGCATCGTAATCGATCGTCATTTTCCGTTCTCGAGCTTGTTCGAAGGTGAGGAAGTAACGATCTTCCAACCCGGCATAGTAGTCTTCTCGCATTTCGTCATACTCTTCTAAAATATCCTGCACGTAATCCTCCTTGCCTTCGCCCAGAAGCGACGAAACCACGGTAACCGAACGAGACGCATCCAGAACATGGATCACGGGATGCTCCAAAGTGAAGTAGTTCGGGGAAATCTTGACTGCGGTGTGCATCTTGGACGTAGTTGCCCCACCGATGAGAAGAGGTTGTTTGAAGCCCGCTTTCGACATTTCCTTGGCAACGTCAACCATCTCATCCAAAGAAGGAGTGATCAAACCAGAAAGACCAATCACGTCAACGTCATACTCCTTCGCTTTTTCGAGAATCTTCTCACATGTGCACATCACTCCAATATCGTAAACCTTGTAATTATTGCATCCAAGAACAACTGCAACAATATTTTTTCCAATGTCATGCACATCGCCTTTCACCGTAGCCATGAGGACTTTGCCTGCAGAAATGAATTGTATTACATCGCAATAAGTGAAAGTACTCCCACAATGCAAGCAACAGCAGGACGCAAAACTTACCGGCGAAATTCGACGCATCGTGCTCGTCGAAATCATCTGGGTTCAGGCCTTCCGCAAGCATCTTCGCCTTCTTCTCTTCTTCCATGAACGGCAGCAAATATGCCACGGCCTTTTTCATAACTCGAGCAGATTTGATAACTTGTGGGAGGAACATCTTTCCAGCACCAAAGAGATCACCAACAACATTCATGCCATCCATCAATGGCCCTTCAATAACTTCGAGAGGCTTCGATGCGAGCTGCCTGGCTTCTTCAACATCCTTGTCCACATATTGAGAAATGCCGTTAATAAGTGCATGCTCCAAACGTTTCTTGGCCTCAAAATCTCTCCAAGACTTCTCCTGGACTTTAGCAGCAGCACCACCACCACCCTTCTTTCGGGCTTCAACGGCAGCCTTTTCCTTCTGTGTGAATTCCAGCATGACGTCCGTGGCATTTTCAGTCTTGTTGAACACAAGATTCTCACAAGCCGTCCTCAGTGGGCCATCGACTTCACCAAGCATCAACATTTCATTAGCATTGACAATGCCAACATCCATACCAGATTCCAGGATGGCATTGTGGAGGAACACAGCATGGATGGATTCACGAATCTTGGTCACTCCCCTAAAGCCAAAGGACAGGTTGGAAATTCCTCCACTGATCTTAACATAAGGACACTCCTCCTTGATGCGCTTGGTGGCCTTGATGAAGTCAACACCATAGTTGGCGTGCTCCTCCATTCCAGTTCCAATGGTCAACACATTGGGGTCAAAGATGATGTCTTCAGGAGGAAACTTGACCTTGTTCACAAGGACATCGTAAGACCTCTTGCAGATGCGGACCTTCTCCTCTTCTGTGGCAGCCTGTCCTTGCTCATCAAAGGCCATCACAACAACAGCTGCACCATGCTTCTTCAAGAGAGTGGCATGCTGAATGAACAGCTCCTCGCCAACCTTGAGGGAGATCGAATTGATGATGGGCTTGCCTTGGCACCACTTCAGGCCGGCCACAACAATGTCAAACTTGGATGCATCCAACATGAAGGGGACCTTCGAGATCTCTGGCTCAGTGACAGCAATCTTCACAAACTTCTGCATGGCAGCCAAACCGTCAAGCATGCCATCATCAACATTGATATCAATGACATGTGCTCCATCTTCAACCTGCTGCTTAGCGATATCCATGGCAGTTGCATAGTCACCCGCCATCATGAGCTTCTTGAACCTGAGGGAACCAGCAATGTTGCATCTCTCGCCAACATTCAAAAAGGGCAGACCAAGGTGGTTGTGAACATCGTCAACCACAAGGTCCTCCAAACCTGACAGCCACATCTTGGACGGCCAACATCAGGCAGCTTCCTTGGCTGGTACTTTTCTGCCACCTCACGAATGGCCTTGATGTGGGGAGGGGTGGATCCACAAACCACCAACCATATTGATCCAGCCATTCTTGAAGAAGACTTCATTGCACCTGGCCATATCTTCGGGGGTCTCATCGTAGCCTCCCATTGCATTGGGTAGACCAGCATTGGAGTAAACATGCATGAAACACTCCACACACTTGGACAGCCTCTCCACAAATGGAATCATGTGGGTGGCTCCAAGCGCACAGTTCAAACCAACACACATGGGCTTGGCGTGCCTGATAGAGACATAAAAGGCCTCACCAGTTTGACCAGACAAAGTCCTTCCAGACTGATCCACCAGAGTTCCAGAAACAAACACTGGAATATCAAGACCAGTGAATTCAAGGTACTCCCCAATGGCATACAGGGCAGCCTTGGCGTTCAGGGTATCAAAGATTGTCTCAACCATCAAAATATCTGATCCTCCATCCATAAGACCAACAACCTGCTCAAAGTAGGCATCCACAAGTTCGTCAAAGGTGACATTCCTAGCGGCAGGATCCTCCACAGATGGAGAAATGGAGCCAGTCCGGTTGGTAGGACCAATGGCACCAACTACAAAACGAGGCTTAGTTGGGTCCTTGGCTGTCACAGCATCACAGGCTTCCCTGGCCAACGAGCTCCTTGATAATTGAGCTCATAGACGTAGTCCTCCATCTCATAGTCAGCCATGGCGATTGTAGTGGAAGAGAAGGTGTTGGTTCCAATCATGTTGGATCCACCCACCTCCAAGTACTCGCGGTAAATGCCACTAATGACATCAGGCTGGGTGATGCTCAGCATGTCATTGTTCCCCTTCACATTGCATTTCCAGTCCTTGAACTTCTCTCCACGGTACTCCTCCTCTTCCAGTTTGTTCCTCTTGGCATAATTCTGGATCATGGTTCCCATGGCCCCGTCATACAGGGCAATCTGGAGGTGAACAGAGAAGTGATGTACTCACGCAGACTATCCCTTCCTCTGACAAAGTGAGGAAAAGACTCAGGGTAGGTGCCAGCAGACTGAGCGAAGTCAATGTTCACGTCCTTGGGGAGGGTAGACTTGTTCCTCTCAGCCACAACCTTTTTGTGAACAAGCTTGGAGTTGACATATGGGTTGGGCACATGGTTTTGGGCAGCATCAGAAGTGGGGAGAGGTGGCTCTGTGGAGGCCTTGGGCTCCACATTGTCATAAGAAAACTGAAGGCGGGGCATATTGACGGGCTTGCCTCTTGGTTTTCTTGGAGTTGGTAACCCCTTCTTCCTTGCATCAATACATGCCCTTTCATAATTTGTGCGAGTCAGCATCTCATCAGTCGCATCCTCACTCTTGTTGAATACAAGATTCTCACAAATGAGTCTCATGTCTTCCTCCAGATCATCCACGGCCAACATTTCTTTGGCATTGACAATGCCAACATCCATGCCAGATTCCAGGATGGCATTGTGGAGGAACACAGCATGGATGGATTCACGAATCTTGGTAACTCCCCTAAAGCCAAAAGACAGGTTGGAAATTCCTCCACTGATCTTAACATAAGGACACTCCTCCTTGATGCGCTTGGTGGCCTTGATGAAGTCAACACCATAGTTGGCGTGCTCCTCCATTCCAGTTCCAATGGTCAACACATTGGGGTCAAAGATGATGTCTTCAGGAGGAAACTTGACCTTGTTCACAAGGACATCGTAAGACCTCTTGCAGATGCGGACCTTCTCCTCTTCTGTGGCAGCCTGTCCTTGCTCATCAAAGGCCATCACAACAACAGCTGCACCATGCTTCTTCAAGAGAGTGGCATGCTGAATGAACAGCTCCTCGCCAACCTTGAGGGAGATCGAATTGATGATGGGCTTGCCTTGGCACCACTTCAGGCCGGCCACAACAATGTCAAACTTGGATGCATCCAACATGAAGGGGACCTTCGAGATCTCTGGCTCAGTGACAGCAATCTTCACAAACTTCTGCATGGCAGCCAAACCGTCAAGCATGCCATCATCAACATTGATATCAATGACATGTGCTCCATCTTCAACCTGCTGCTTAGCGATATCCATGGCAGTTGCATAGTCACCCGCCATCATGAGCTTCTTGAACCTGAGGGAACCAGCAATGTTGCATCTCTCGCCAACATTCAAGAAGGGCAGACCAAGGTGGTTGTGAACATCGTCAACCACAAGGTCCTCCAAACCTGACAGCCACATCTTGGGACGGCCAACATCAGGCAGCTTCCTTGGCTGGTACTTTTCTGCCACCTCACGAATGGCCTTGATGTGGGGAGGGGTGGATCCACAACAACCACCAACCATATTGATCCAGCCATTCTTGAAGAAGACTTCATTGCACCTGGCCATATCTTCGGGGGTCTCATCGTAGCCTCCCATTGCATTGGGTAGACCAGCATTGGAGTAAACATGCATGAAACACTCCACACACTTGGACAGCCTCTCCACAAATGGAATCATGTGGGTGGCTCCAAGCGCACAGTTCAAACCAACACACATGGGCTTGGCGTGCCTGATAGAGACATAAAAGGCCTCACCAGTTTGACCAGACAAAGTCCTTCCAGACTGATCCACCAGAGTTCCAGAAACAAACACTGGAATATCAAGACCAGTGAATTCAAGGTACTCCCCAATGGCATACAGGGCAGCCTTGGCGTTCAGGGTATCAAAGATTGTCTCAACCATCAAAATATCTGATCCTCCATCCATAAGACCAACAACCTGCTCAAAGTAGGCATCCACAAGTTCGTCAAAGGTGACATTCCTAGCGGCAGGATCCTCCACAGATGGAGAAATGGAGCCAGTCCGGTTGGTAGGACCAATGGCACCAACTACAAAACGAGGCTTAGTTGGGTCCTTGGCTGTCACAGCATCACAGGCTTCCCTGGCCAACCGAGCTCCTTGATAATTGAGCTCATAGACGTAGTCCTCCATCTCATAGTCAGCCATGGCGATTGTAGTGGAAGAGAAGGTGTTGGTTCCAATCATGTTGGATCCACCCACCTCCAAGTACTCGCGGTAAATGCCACTAATGACATCAGGCTGGGTGATGCTCAGCATGTCATTGTTCCCCTTCACATTGCATTTCCAGTCCTTGAACTTCTCTCCACGGTACTCCTCCTCTTCCAGTTTGTTCCTCTTGGCATAATTCTGGATCATGGTTCCCATGGCTCCGTCATACATGGCAATCTGGGAGGTGAACAGAGAAGTGATGTACTCACGCAGACTATCCCTTCCTCTGACAAAGTGAGGAAAAGACTCAGGGTAGGTGTCAGCAGACTGAGCTAAGTCAATGTTCACGTCCTTGGGGAGGGTAGACTTGTTCCTCTCAGCACAACCTTCTCATGAACAAGCTTGGAGTTGACATATGGGTTGGGCACATGGTTTTGGGCAGCATCAGAAGTGGGGAGAGGTGGCTCTGTGGCAGCCTTGGGCTCCACATTGTCATAGGAGAACTGCTTCCTTGGGTACATTTTCTTGGGAGTTTTATCGGTCATCTTTTTTAGTTTTTGTTTCGGGTGTTCAAACGTCGGCGATGTGGATCAAAAATTCTTGGACAAAGGTATGACAAAAATATCAAATGGGATTCTGTCTGAGATCCAAGTCAACAAATATCGTCGTCAAATCGATCGGTCGATAGGTAGCGGCAAGTAATTGGCTGCAACGGGTAGGAATCGAATCAATCGCTCGACGAAAGATGTTCGATGTCGCGTGGTAATTGGCAAAATCAAATCTAATACCACGGGTGCCTCGAGTATCAGATTCTTGGTAGATCAACCGAGCGTAGCTTTAATAAAACTCGACTTTCCTGCCTTTTGCTTGGCTACTGCGATAATGGTGGTCTCAAAGGTACCGCTACCGCCAAAGTGCTCTCAGGAAGAAGAAGCAACAACGGCCAACCGATGATGCAATGCGGGAAAATGATCTTCAACAGAATGTGGAATGACGAGTGCTGCCTGTCCACCAATTTTGCTAATGGTATCCTTGGTAGCACACTACATACGGTGATGCCTGTAGGCGGCCAGTACTGACGTTTTCTCTCGTGACTTACTGTAGCATTGGTACGGGTTTCAACGTCAGCCAATTCTGACAGGCTTGGAGCGCTCAGCTGCCCGCACCATGGTACAAACGCAACAGCACGTTCCACAGGGTTCTGCAGCGTCCTTGTCAACAGTTTCAAGGCCGTTGCACATGCCGAGCAAAAGTTGCCCCTCCTGCGCCCAAAATGCTTGGGAGGTCGCGGTGGCGGACCAAGGACTGAACTCTGGCGGGCTATGTAGAGCTACCGGTACTACTAGCTAGTAGTGCTGAAGCCGTCTAGCTAGTACTACTTACTTGTAAAGGTAGATGACCACCTGCTGCAGTTCTTGCGAAGGACGCAGCCAAGACCCCACGGTTCCTTACGCTGTTAGGTTAGATTTGTGGCTTTGAAAATCCTTTCATACGGGTTGGAGGTTGCTAGCTAGAGGGTGGGTAACCGATCGGAAGTGATGTGAGAGCGAACAATATCTACATGCAGTCAGACCCCTCAGGATTCGTACTTGCATTCATAAAACTTCATTTACTATTGATTTATTAATTAATCAAGTTCAAACGCGAAAATATCTCAAAAACCATGGCAATCGATTCATTGCTTGCTTTGCTTCGATGCCAGTGGTTGCTAATTGGCAACCACCTTGCTAGTCAAAAACTGAACGTTCAATCTTCTTCTTCAATCTCGACAAGCAAGTCTCCGACCTCGAGCTGCTCGCCTGCGGTAGCGACGACTCGTGTCACAGTTCCGCTAACTGGAGCCGAAACCATAGTCTCCATCTTCATGGCCGACAAGCTTAGCAAATCGTCTCCCATCTTGACCTTGTCACCCTTCTTGACCTTCGTCTCAAGCACGACACCGGGCATGGGAGCACCAACACTTCCGACGACACCATTCAAAGCCTTGGCCCGGGCAACTGTGTCGACTCCAACACTCTTGTCCTTCACCTTGACGGTACGTGGACTTCCGTTCATTTCGAACTGAAGAGTGACGATTCCATCTCTGTCGGGATCGCTGATCGACAGCAGCTTGATAACCAACTGTTTTCCCTTCTCAATGTCAACATCCAACTCATCGCCGATCTTCATTCCGGTCAAGAAGGTGCGGGTGTTGAGGAAATCAACGTCACCGAACTCTTGCTTGAAGTTCATGTATTGGTCGAACACAGCAGGGTACATAGCGTGGGACATGACATCGACATCGCGGATTGGGCTGTCAATCACTGAATCCTTCGTTTCGTTGCCCAAGCTCTGGGCCCTTACACCCCACTTGTCATCAAGTTTTGACTTGGCATCCTTGAAATCAAAGGGTGGCAAATCAGCTCCAGGCCGGCCTTCAAACTGGACAAGCCCATCAGTGCCTTCAATTGTCTTGCCCTGGATGACACGGGAACGCAACGGCTCAGGGAAACCGTGTGGTGGAATACCAAGGTATCCCTGGAAGTACTCGATGACACTCTTAGGGAAACTCAAAGTATCGGCCTTCTCGATCACTTCTTCCTCGGTCAAGTCGTTCGCAACAATAAACTGTGCCAAGTCGCCTGTGACCTTGGATGAAGGGGTGACCTTGATGATATCACCAAGCAAGCGGTTGGCTGTGGCGTAGGCCTTCTTCACCTTGCTCCACTGGCCGGTCAGTCCGAGTTGAGTGCTCTGGAAAAGCAGGTTTGTGTACTGGCCTCCGGGCATCTCATGCTCGTACACATCACTGGATCCAGTCTTCTGGCCACTCTCGAAGGGAGCATACAAACCTCGGCATTCTTCCCAGTACTCGTTCAAAGCCTGGACTTGTCCAAGGTCGAGTCCAGTGTCCAATTCCGTTCCTTGGGTACTGGCGACGAGGGCACCGAGAGAGGGTTGAGCTGTAGTGCCGGACATGGCATCCGAAGCGGCATCAACGGCATCGGCACCGGCCCTTGCGCAAGCCAACATGGACGCCACGCCTGTTCCGGCAGTGTCGTGAGTGTGAACGTGGATGGGGAGATCAGGGAACTCTTGACGGATGGCTCCAACGAGCATGGTGGCGGCTTGGGGCTTCAAGAGGCCTGCCATATCCTTGATAGCCAAAACATGAATTCCCAACTCGTTCAACTGCCTGACAAAGTTCAGGTAGTATTCGAGGTTGTACATGCCACGGTTGGGGTCGGCAACGTCTCCAGTGTAGCAGCAGGTAGCCTCGACGATTCCTCCAGCAGTTCCTACCGCGTCAATTCCCAAGCGCATGTTTTCGATGTAGTTGACCGAGTCAAACACACGGAAGACATCCATGCCTGTGTCCTTGGCCATCTTGCAGAAATCATACACAAGATTGTCGGGGTAGCTTGTGTATCCGACAGCATTAGCTCCACGAAGGAGCATCTGGAAGGGAATATCTGGAACGGCTTCTCTCATTTCGGAAAGGCGATCCCAAGGGCATTCACGCAGGAAACGCATGGTAACATCAAAGGTGGCCTGATCAATCAATCAATCAAAGAGAAGCAAAAAAGTTGAGAAGACGCAGACGACAACTGGCAAAATCAAAACACAAGATGTCATTGCTTACCCCACCCCAGTTCTCAATGGAGTAGCAGTTGCTGAGGGCGACGCTGGTAGGCTGAGCAACATTCAGCATGTCGATCGTACGCATGCGAGTGGCCAACAAGGACTGATGAGCATCACGCCAAGTAGTGTCCGTGATGAGCAATCCTTCATTCTGCCTGACAGCCTTGGCAAAGGCCTCAGGACCCTCGGTATCAAAGATCTGCTTTAAGGACTTCTTGTCGAGCTGACCAGGCTTGGGTTCAATGACGGGGATCATAGGATCGACAGAGCTTGGAGGTGACCCAACTGCACCGAGTTCCTTGGGTGTTCCATTGATGACAGTGTTTCCAATGTAAAGGAGCAATTTCTGGGCACGGTCGAGTTCGCGAAGAGGGTCAAGCAAGTGAGGATTGGCAGCAATAAAGCCGGTATCCACAACTCCATCCAAGAATTGTTCATGCTGCAGCACATTCAGCAAGAACGACTTGTTGGTCTTTACTCCTCTAACACGGAATTCCTTGAGCGCGCGAACCAACTTGGCTGCAGCATCCTTCCTGTTTCGGGCCTTGGCAGTGATCTTCACGAGCAATGAGTCGTAGTGAGGAGTGATTTGGGCTCCAGGGAAACCAGGGCCGTCATCAAGTCGAATTCCCATGCCGGCAGGCAAACGGAAGACATTGATGGTTCCGGTATCAGGGCGGAAGTCCAATGAGGGATCTTCAGTAGTGACACGGCACTGCATTGCAAAGACGTTGTTTGGTTCAGGGATGGAATCTTGTGTCAATTCGAGTTCCTTCAAGGTCTTGCCACTGGCAATCATAATCTGGGTCTGGACAATATCAATGCCAGTAACTTCCTCAGTGACAGTGTGCTCGACCTGGACACGAGGGTTGACTTCCATGAAGTAATGCTTGCCATGCTTGTCCAGCAGGAACTCAACAGTACCAGCATTGCGGTACTTTTCACTCTTGAGCATCCTCACGGAATCTTCGAGAATGGCTTTGCGAGTTTCTTCAGGGACATCTTGGGCGGGGGCAATCTCCACCACCTTCTGATGACGGCGTTGGACACTGCAGTCACGATCCCAAAGGTGGATCACGTCTCCGGTGCCATCACCCAGACATTGGACCTCAATGTGCCTAGGGTTCTCGACGTACTTTTCCACAAAGCAACGGCCATCACCGACAGCGTTCAATGCTTCGTTTGATGCTTGGGTGAACTGGGATTCAAGCAATTCAGGGGTCATGACGACACGGATACCACGGCCACCACCTCCCTGGTTGGTAACAGCAAAGAAAGGTGTGCATGGTAAGTTAATTCAGAATCAAAAAAGTAATAGAACTATAAAGCAATGTAAACAACCGAACTTACCATCAAAGCCTTGACAATGACGGGGTAGTCACACTTGTTGGCCGGATCATCAATCCATTCACGGGCCTCTTGGACGGTGGCAAATGCTTCCTCAGACCCAGGAACCACAGGCACCTCGTTTTCAATGGCAACCTGGCGAGCCGTGGCCTTGTTTCCAAAGGTAGTCAAGTTGCTGACGGTGGGACCAACAAAGGTGATTCCGGCTTTGGTCAGGGCATCGGCAAAGTTTTCATTTTCACTCAAGAGTCCATATCCAGGATGAACAGCTTGCACATTGTTCACTTTGCAAATGTTGACAATGTTTTCAATGTCCAAGTACTGGGCCACTGGGCCCTTGCTGCCATCCAACTCAAAGGCTTGGTCACATTTGTAACGGTGCTGGGTGAAACGATCTGCAAAAATCAAGAAACAAAAGTGACAAGAACAAAAGTGATAACAGACCCAAGAGGGATAGTAATGAAAGAATTAAAGGGAGTATTGGTGAGATGAAATAATCAATTGAAAGGTATAATACCGAATTTCCAAGTGAGATTATGTCGTAACAACCCATCCAAAAATTGGAAAAAAGGGACAACCAATATATTTTCTCTTTTTGCTTACCTTCGTAAGCATAGATTCCGGCAGTCTTAATGCCAAGTTCAGAAGCAGCACGGACAATGCGAGTGGCAATTTCTCCACGGTTGGCAGCCATCAACTTTTGAAAAGGAGCGTTTTCTGTTGTTTCAGTTTCGGCCACGGACTTCCATGTGGAAGCAGAGGAATGAAAAGAGGCCACAGAGCCAACAGACGAGGCCAGTGGTTGACTGCTGTTGAAAACGGACTCGACTAAAACAGCCGATGCACCCGTGGACCGGGAGACTGCCGATTTCACACCCAACCGAGCACGTTGGTTGCGGGGCGCCTTGGCGGCGGCTCGAACGAGAGATCGAAACATGGTGAATTAATTCTCCAGAGGCCTTCTGGTCAGTATATTGCTTTTCTTTACACCTTTCCTTAGGTTTTCCCTTGATGGCAATGATTTGGGATGGGACCTTTTATCCGGCTACAGATAGATGTAGATGTCTTTTTTATGACAGTTGGCAGCTGTAAAAGAACAGCCACTAATTTTCTGAAATATTTCCAGATCCAAAATGGTAGCGAAGCCCAAAAAGATCGGACGGTTCGCTTGGTTGGTGGGAGAATCTTCAATCGTTGGATTGATGGCTGCATTCTCATAGCCAGCCGGTCCTTCTGGTGTGGCACAAACAAAGCTAAACAATTTAAGGCCGGCAGAGCCGCTTGATCGTTTTGAGGCTCCTTGTTTTATGGCGTGAAACGAGAAGGTCCTGAAAGGCGATGTTCCCAAGATGCGAAGTGGCATCAACATCTCAACAACCCACTCATGACAAACTGACGGTGCGGTATCAGAAGTTTATCTTGCAAAGATACCAGCTGCCATTGGCACGTACCGTATGCATAACAATGAGAAGGATTCCAGGAGTCGCGAGGAAGCAGAGAGGCACCTCTTTCCGCAAGTTCAGATTTGCCTGCACGTTTAGTACTCTTCCGCTGTTGGCACGTACCAGTACCCTGCGTATTGATAGGTTTGTTTGCCTCATTTGCAGTTGTGGGATACGAGAACGTACTTCCTATTGTTCTATACCGTACTACACGTACGTAGGATAAGGGATGGGAAAGAGAAGAAGAGAAACAAAGGGGCAGATCGAACCCCTGTGCTCAGAAAGATATAAGCTGTTGCCTCTAACTAAAATGCCGGTACTCATACGGAGTGGGTGGCTACCGCTGACATCATGATAACGAGACAATTTTTTGTCACCTCACCAAAGTTTGTCCATGTGAAGCCCAACCCTCTTGCAATGACCAGAGAAACGGAATCTACCGTATGTTGCCAGGATAGAGGGCATGACCAGCCGGTCATGATTTGCTTTGCTGACATGATACGAAGCAAAGCCAGTTAGTCTACTAGTACGGAAGTACTACATGTAGCTAGTGTACCGGTATCACTCCGGTCTTTGAACCGCCGGGACCACGAAGGAGAACATTAGAAATAATGAACCATCTCTTTCATTTTGTGCACATTGATGACTCGCCGCGTGAAACGTGTTTCATTTATCGAACACATGGTTACTTAGAACTAAGTATCCATAGCACAACAAAGACCATCAGTTGTGTCTCCTACGGTACTGAGCTCAAACCATGACGAGTGCTCTCTAGAGTACGGTAGGAGTACCGGAAGTCTTATCTTGCCCAAGTTGCATTGCTCCTACCCGGCCATGATGGATCACATAGCCCAACAGTTACAGTATCAACCGGGGTTCAGGTTTCTGGAATTGGAGAGGAGTGTTGAGGATGACGAGGAAGGTTTCATTTCCATGGTGTCCGCCCTTGTGGGAAGCAAATCGGTGCGCCACATGTACCTTTGTGGAGAGTTCTTTGACAGCCTCGACGATGAACAAAGGCAAATTTTCCTGGAGGCAACCGGGACCATTGAATCATTGCAATGCCTTTACATGGCCAACGCCAAGTTATCGATGGATTCGGTGGAGGATCTAGCTGTCGCATTTGCTGCCGACATGATGACGAGTTCGACAATTCAAGAGGTATCGTTGCAACATCTCAACATCCCCGACACTGTGGTTCTGGATGATCTCGTGAGGGCTATCGCCAAGTTCCCTGTAGTGGAACGAGTAGAGATCGGAGTACTGTTTATCCACCACGATCAAGCCGCCTTCTCCCCAGACGCACTCGCCGACCTCTGCCAATCAAAGAGCTTGAAAGCCCTCACATTGATCGATCTTAGGTTTGATCAAGACCATTTCAAAGCCATGGAGCAAGCTCTTTCCAACAACCATGCTCTTGCCGAGCTCAGTCTTTGGGGGGAGATACTAGACTTTGCTTCCTGCACAGCCATGGCCAAAATGCTTCGCAGGAATCGGAGCCTGGAATCACTTTGCATATACTTTGGAAACATGAATGATGATGGTATTCAAGCAATCTGCCAGTCCATTGGTCAAAGCAACAATCTCAAGTCCTTTTCCATTGAGAACGAAGACGATTCTATCACTCAAACGGGTGTCTCTGCCATGGCCGAGATGCTCGAAGATAACAAACAACTTGAAACTTTGTCGTTGGCTACCAAGGCGTTGGATAGTGAAGGATTCATTCGTCTGGGCCGCGTCCTGAAGACTCATCCGACCTTACGGGAGCTTAGCCTGGACAATTCCACGTCTAGCAGTGAGCATCCAGCAAGCGTTCAAAAGCCTGCAATTGCTTCTTTGTCCAACATGTTGGAAGTGAACACGAGTATCCGGCGACTTGATTTGTCCGGCATCTCTATGGATGACACAACGGTGGCACTATTGGCTTCGTCGTTGAAGACTAACTCGAAACTCCAGGAACTAAGCCTGGGGTCCATCAAGCTTCAAAGTGATGAGGAAGACGAAGAGACGACGACGGAAAGCAAACTAGGAAGAGTGTTTGGTGTTCTAGAGGATCTCGTAGAACACAACACTGTCCTTGAGAAGATATCTACAGAGCAAGACACGCTAACTCTAAACTTTGGAGGAAAAATCAATTTCCTGCTGTCATTGAACCAACGCGGTTTACGTACCGCCATGGTGGACGTGAACACCCACAGAAAATGGTTCGCGAACAAGCTGGCAGAAAGCGTGTATTGTGTTTCGACATTATTCTATTTGCTGTCCATGAATCCGTCTCTCATGGTGGTACCGGAAGCGTCTGCCTGAGCACCAAGCCGAGGACGTGGCTCTTGAGCTTGAGTGACCAGCCCATTCTACTAGTAGGTTCATTCCTCGTCGTCGTCATCGTCGTCAATGTCATCATCCTCTCCAGTTGGAAAGAATGTGTAGCTTAAAGTCACATCTGTAATGTAGGAAACCTGAGGATCATCCAACATTTCTGGGTCAATAAAGTAGAACACCGGCATGTCAACAGTCTCTCCTGGGAGTATCCTTTGCTCTTCAAAGCAGAAACACTGGATCTTTTGAAAGTACAGTCCCATTTTTGGTGGGTGCACGTTGTAGGTTGCAACACCAGTAATGGCTTTGTCCGAATGATTGGTGACACGGAAGAAACTGAGGGCAGTTTCTCCCGGGACAACTTTGACGTTGGGTTGGGTCGCTTCAAACGTCCAGGGCAGGATATCTCCAACTGTGGTATCAAAATGAACCGTAATGAGCTCGGCATTGGCTACAGGTCGCAGTGTCGATAGCCTTGCGGCCGCATCTTCGTCGGTCCAAGTGTGGACCCGTGCTTTGCGCACTACACCTTGGGGTAGCTGTTGTACCAGTGATTTGAGTTGTTTTTCCAACCATGTAGGAGGCTCAGCTGGTTCACCCACCTGTACTCGTTGCGTCGTCCCTCCAAATCCAGTAGCTTGGCAAAAGACTTTGTACAACGGAACCGATGCATAGGTGGCACCGACCACTCCAATGACTATGGCAGCTGCATACCAAGCCAGCTGAACATTCATATCTTCCAACGACGCGTTGTCGGCCTTCTTCTTCTTCTTGTTCTTATTCCACCAGACTCGAAATCTGTACAGCGGAGACTTCATTCGTTTCCTCTGATAATACTCGTAGGAACGTCTTTGGGCATCACTCATTCCTTTGCTGCTTTTGCCACTGGCTTTTGTCGCCAGGGTGCGTACAAAACTGAAACGAGGGTACCCCAAGAGGGAAAGAGGCCCATTGCTCGGAAATAGCAACTTTCTCGTCCCACCAAAAACCGCATGGTCCACCAAGAAAGTGGCAGACAGCCTCTGGGTTGATCTTGAAAGGGCAAGTGACGACATGGTTATTACATGTACATGTAGTAGAGCTGTGTTTGTTGGAGTTTTGGGAAAGCAAAGCAGAGAATCTCTCTGAGTTGTTTGTGGTTTGGATTGCCGGAAACATGAGCCGTCAAAGCTGCCTGAAAGCTGCGGCGAGGATGAACAGAAGAAAGGCCAGACGGCCAAATGGAGCTTGCAGATGCAATTCTGGCTGGAGCCCCCGACTTCGGAACTTCAAGAATTCTTCCACCTGGTGATGGGCTGCATTGATCGATGGCTGCTGACAGCCCACAAAACAGTCGAAAACAGGGTGTCAACGACAACCGCCAATGACCAAGATCTTCGAACTTGGGAGCTTTTCCATAGGTTGTGTGATCACCTAAAAGGCACCCAGGTCGTGGCTAACATGCAGTCAAGAAGCAACGGTGCGCCTCAATTGCGTTGTCGGCAGCTTTTGACTAGTTCCCGGTCGATTTACCGATAACGACGAAGTTTTCGAAAGATTCCATAGATTCGGTTGATAATCCAGTTCTTGGCTTGATCGTCTCTAGCTAGAATGCTCCGCAAAGAAGCCCGCCAACGCCCGTTGTCGCTGACAAGACCCTCGCATGCTCAGGCGAAGCTCTCGCAAGCGTGATTTCGAACGAACGACCAAGACAAACAGTTGAACGAATGACGCAACAAAAAACAAGATTGAAATAACGATGCTAGCGGAAAATGGGTCTATATGAGTTAGTGAGTGAAAAGGACGCCTCTTCAGAGCTGGATGATCACGTAGCAGTTGAGTGATCAGTGCCAGAGCTTGAGGGAGCCGGAGCTCCCGTCGAAGGAAGTGGCCCCTGGAGCGATTGCTGTGAGGGGTGTGGTGGGTGAAGTGAGGGTGGTGGTGGTGCATGAGGGTCGACGGCGTGATGTGGGTGGAACAGATGTTCATAAGCTACACCGGAGCCAGTTTGGTCGTCTCCAGCGTAACCAGCAGGAACTGGAGGCGCTTGACTGATCGGTACAGGTTGATATGTAGCGGTTCTTGGGAGTATCATTCGTTGACTCATCAAGTACTGCGCCATGTTGACATTCTCCGGCGTGGCTCCTCGAATAGTCACCAGACGGTTGCGGGTGCCTGGCATGTACTCGCCACGTTGACTTATCCGTATGCGAGTTCCGGACTGGGCTTGGAGGTCATTGAGCGTCTTTCCGCCTCTTCCCAAGATGGAACCGATCATATTGTCCGGAACAAAGAGCTGCGCTGAAAAGCCTTGCTGCGCTGGACCCGCGCCTTGGTGCTGGGGAAACAAAGGGTATTCGGGGTGGGCAACGTGAGGCGGAGAGCGTGTCTGAGGCCCACCGGGGGACGATTGAAGCTCCATTTGGCCGATCTGAAGAGCCAACAGGTCAGGCGCCGAGACGCTGCTTGGAACCGAAGCCACCGACACTGGGTGTTCCATGGGTGGCTGGTTCAGGTACATGGGTTGCCCGGAAGTCTGTGGCGGCATCCTTGGTTGCACAGGCTGCCGTATCGGGGAATAAGAGGACGATGGCCCACCACCAAACATAGGACTGTACTGCAAGCTTTCTCTGTTTCCATGGGCCCCGACTTGCGCCTGTCTCGGTTCCATGGGCATCGAGCGGTGGCCAAGAAATGATCCCGCAAGATCGGGCGCAGACCCCACTCGTTTACCCATGCCACCAGGTTGCGGTGGCGGTGCATAACGTGAATCCCAGAGCCCTGCTTCTGCTCCCAGAACAGGGTCAACAGAACCAGGACGCATAGTCGGTTGACCAACTGCAAACGGATCTGGTGGCATAATGCGAGAATAGCTCGTTGTCATGTTTGTATAGCGACAGATGTCGGGATGCGTTGTCATCCCATCCAAAATGATGAAGAGGCAATTCAAACAGCACTCGAGGGTTGGCCCGGTGAGAGTCACGACTCTCTCCGAGGTTGCAGAGGTAATGGTCGCAGAAGGATAATTTGGATCCACGATGTCTTTTGGGGAGAGCCGCACCGATGCCACTCCGGATGCCTCTTCCATCTGGCGAATGTTAGCGCCAGATTTGCCAATTATCATGCCACAACTTGAACTCGGGACGAGGATGCGAACAACAAAGTCAAACGGCGGACCACCTTCGCTTCTGTTTGACTGCCAAGCCATGTGCTGCGAGTGCTGGTGTTCCTGAAGCATGTACAGTCGCTCAAGCAGAAGACCCACGGCGCCCTTGACATTCTCCAGTTGACCTTGAACAAGACAGACCCTGTCTTGTGATCCCGGGTAGTAGTCACCCGTCTGGCTCAGCTTTATCCTTGTGGATGATTGGGCTTGGAGGTCACTGATGGTCTGACCTGCTCTCCCGATGATGGAGCCGGCGACATTGTTTGAAACAAGCAGCTTGATGGCACAAGGGAAACCCCCAGAGCTGTAGCGTTGATTCTCCGGGGGCGACACATTGAACTGAGAATGATCTGGTGTTGCTGGGGGTCCGTACCTTGGTGCCATGACTCCCTCGCCTAACGATGTTGGCCAGTGGCCCTGACCGTGCATACCCCGGTCAGTCCCCAGTGATTCGGAAGGGAAGTCAGGTGCTGATCCCGACTTCCCTACTGGTCCTGATGAATCACATGGCGACGGCGACGAGGAATTTCCGATGCTTGTAGGAGTCGACGTTGTACCAGTTGTGGTTGCCGAAGAATGTGGATCCGGCGAGCACCCATCGTTCTGCTTGTCAGATGACGGATGCTGTGCAAGGCCTGTTGCAGCTCTATCCTCAGGAATGGTTGGTATTGTATGATGTGCAGGCAACGGTAACTGATGCTGAGGTGCACTGCGTGTACCAAGGAAGTCAATGGTGCTACTGCTATCGCCGCCCTCAGACGTCACCGACTGCTGGCCAGTAAGATGCTGAGGTCCCAAGACATCAGAAGCAACCATTGTCCGGCCGAGATGCTGCTCTGTATCCCCAAGCAAAGCCACATGGCCGCTGGCGCTGTTGTTGTTGTTACTTTGCTCATTCTGATCAAGAGCATCGTGAGGTGAGGCAAGCTTGTAAGGCACTACTGGTTCCACACAAAGCGCAGGACTGAGCGAATGTGTCGTGGTGGTGGGACTTACTCTGGCAGATTCCATCGTTTGGGTCCGATCGCTTTCGTGTGCGACACCCTTACTTCCCACAATTTCCTTTCCGGCACAGCTTCGGGAAACTACACCGGAACTCAGACAACAAGCGGACAACACGAGCTTATGGCAAGCTTGGCTCGGCCATCGCTGGAAGCAAATGAATTCCTCTACAGCTCTGTAGAATGAGAAGAATTGAGAGTAACCTTTGTTAGAGACGTGCACATGCAAACCATTCATTCCGCTATCAACGTTTAGATAAGGCGCTCCATGGCAAAATTACTTTGAAATACTGTTGCTCCTGGAGATGGCCGATGGCAGGGAGATCCGCCGTATCGATTCATCATCATTTATCTCCTGCCTCCACGGAAATAACGGAAAAGGCCCCAGAGCGCACCCACCCGTGGGTAGATGGCACTGTTTCAGGCCCACGAACTACTAGTAGCTAACAACCGCCTTTCAACAGCATCTCTACAGCCATACGCATTCATCAGCATGGTCAACTCACATTAGCAGGCAACAAACTCGTCTTTGTGGACTGATCAGGGATGCATGCTTAGGGATTGAACGTCCTTTTTTATCCAAGGCATACGTCACTACCAAAACTTCGTGCGTAGCAACGCACGCTTTCTTTTCCTCGTACATCACAGTTAGATTGAACTTGTCAGGTAGATGAGGTTTTAATTTAAATCATATTTATTATTGTTTACCCCGCCTTTGACCATTATATATACTCGCTTTCTACTAAGGGTAAGAGAGCCGCCACATCTCTCTCCGGGCGCATTGCTTTCCTATTCCCACCGACCGAAAGATACTTCTCGTTCTCATTGGAAGTTCGTCACGCGATGGTGGTGCCGAATCTTTTTCTTTGCTCTCTCTTTAGTGAGGCCGCAGGACGAACAGTGATGTGGATGTGATGATGGCCAGAGGTTGCATGATGGCTGCATTTATTTGTGACGAAGAGAGAACTGTACTAGCTAGCTGCCACTGGTATACTTGGAATCGAATCCTTTTTGCAAGTCTCTCTATTAGAGCTGCAAGCCAATTGGCCTGTTGGCAGACTGCCACAAATCCAAACCGTATGCTGCCTTGTCTAGCTAGATCAGGTTATCTGGCTGGGTACTCAGCAAAGGGGCAACATGTGCGACAGCTCAATCTCATCTCGCGGTCAGCCTCATGACAACCTAAGCTTGCTGGCCCTGGGCAATGTTGTATCCATACCGGACTTTGTGCAAAGGCTTGAATCGGGAGGGATGTCTGTAACTCCTGAAACTTTATAAAAGTGTGTTGCTGCTTGTGCTCTCGCGTGAACCAAGGTACAAATTTTGGCAGAGAAAGCAAGCGAAGTGATCGATCCAGCTATGCATACTTTGTGCAAAGCGCAGGAAACCGGTTGCCAAACGGGGGTTTAGAGTAGGTAGATTATCTACAGAAGCCAGCCGGGGCCAGGTTTATTTTTAAAAAAAGCAAAGAAGAGTTGAAATTCAGGACTAGGTTGGGTGGGATCAGGGGCGAGAAATTGAGGGCCCTTACGGGGGCCAAAGGGTTTGGCTTTGCGGGATCCACGGAGACATTTCTCTTGAAGAGACACCAGGCAACTCTGGAGGAGGGAACGCAACTTGATTATGTGGGCTTGGGTTGCCACCAGCCAATTTTGCTCTGGTGGCTTTTTCACGGGTCAGTTCTGGCCAGCCAGCCGGCAACATAACTCTGGTCTACCTCCTGGTGGTTCTCCCAACCCTCCTTCTTTTTAGTTTGTTTACAATGCTACATGTAACAATACCGTACCGGCACTTCTATGTAGCAAAAGCATCAAAGATGAATTGAACTCCACGCTTCAACAGGTTTTGTAATTGCTTGACACCATCCATGGATGCAGCCACATTGCAAACCAAGGTCAAAGGACCGGTATCGTAGACGCTTCTGAGCAGCTATTCGCGGCTGGTGGGATGTGGGATGCGCCACTCTTGCTCAGCCAGTCAGACTGACTGAACCTCCCTGCCTTGGAAATGATTGAAGGGCGGTACCGTAGGCAAACCACGAAGGTACCAGTACACTGTACCGGTAGGTGCCCCCAACTAGCACTAGCTAGCCCTTCGCTGAGAACCTCTTGCTCGCCCGTCTTCTCTGCATGAAGAGACTGCCATGTGATGGCTTTAGTTAGCTATCCTTGGTGGTACAGTAGAATACACGTGATGGTCTATGTCAAAGCTGTAAGAAAGCCTCGCCTCTAGCTATCTGCAAGCCCCTGAGGGAAGCATACGGTAGTACAGGATAGATGTTATAAAGAAAAGCACATACTGAGTACAGGCTATTGGATTGAATGATGAATCATTCCCGGAATTGCCTGCCATGCCTGCCATGCCCGTACCTGAAGAACCTGCAGTAAAAGCTAAAGCGAAGGAAATCGCTGTCGATTGCAACGAGCTGCTCTATCACACAAGCACATAGCCAACTCTTGTAGATAATACATTCCATCATGGGCTTGGATCGCCATGTCGTTGCCACTTTGAGCAGGGTCTATCTGTTGCTCTATCTCGTCCACCGCTCAACACGGTATCTAGCGAAAACCGTTTTATGGGCGGGCGTGCTTGCGTTGAAAATGTCATCACACTCTCTCGTGAAATCGAAGCCACACTAAACAACGCTGAGGCACCCGCAAAAGACTTTTCTTCTTCTGTTGCCCTGAAAGCACTTCTTTGGCTGTGGATTGTATCGAAGCAATTTGCCATTGCAAGGGAGATAGCTATATATCGGAAATACATTCTTATCTGTGCTACTAAAGAAAAGCAGCTAGAAGATGTCCTCAACGACAACATACAGACCCTACAATCGCAGTAGCAGCGGGACTTGCAGCGAGAATCTTCCGCCTCGAACGCTTGCTCGTGTGGCTCGAGAAATCCGTGATCTTCATAAGAATCCACCGGAAGGCGTTCGGTTGGTAGTAGATGCGCAATCGGGTGTCCCGAGCAGTCTTGGAGAGGTTGTGGTGAGTTCCTTCTTTCTTCTGCACGAAGTTGGATTGGGAGTATCCTATCGGAGTTCCGAAATGAATGAGTGTCAATTGGCACCCTATGTTCTGCGGAACATACATGATGTATGTCTGGGCATTCCTAACACTGTCGTTCGTTTGATCAGGCTGAAATTCAGGGACCACAGGACACTCCTTATGAGGGAAAGTTCTTTCAACTGAAGCTGGTCCTCTCTTGTGACTTTCCATCGTCTCCGCCTCGCGGTTTCTTCCTTACCAAAATCTACCATCCCAACGTTGACATGTCTACCGGCGCAATTTGCGTAAACACGCTAAAGAAAGATTGGACGCCAGAAACGACTTTTTCTCATGTTCTCAGTGTAATTCGATGCCTCTTGATCATTCCCTTCCCAGAGAGCTCTCTCAACGATGAAGCAGGCAAACTCTTTATGGATTCCTACGACGAGTATTCCAAACGCGCTCGTCTCATGGCAGATGTGCATGGCCGCCCCTTTCAGACGGGAAAGACTGAAGAGGATGGAAAGCCCATGGGCACCAACAACAGCAACAAAGGGACAGATGGAACCACCAGTGTTCTGAGCGATGCCTCGGTTTCAAAATCCAATCCACTTCGTAGTAACAATGGCGCAACAACCGGTGGATCCGGAAAGAGTGGCAGCGGAAACGTTCGAAAGCAAGTGAGCAATGGCAAGTCAGGTAAAATGACAAAGAAGAAGAGTCTAAAGCGCCTGTGAGAACCAAGTGGGAAATTCTACGACGGTCTTCATAATCATCGCCACAATCTTCCCGAGTTGTTGGTCAATCAATCTTCAAATCTGGCCAGTCATCGATTCGATACATGTTCTTGCATGCGGGCAAGCAGCGTTCTGGGCACCGCTGTTGCTACGGTTGCCCATTGTACTATCCAACTCCGAACAAATTCATAGAATCTTTAAGAGATTACATTACGCTCTTCGTTTCCTCCATCCTAGCTAGCAAGTAAGTAAGCTCTATCCTCTCCCCTACGGTATCCTAGCTACTAGTAGCAAGTAAGCTCTATCCTTCCCATGTTCTGTTCTCGAGTTTGTGTGATAGTGTGATTGTGTGATTGCTTTCAGTTGAGCTTCCGGGGTGTGTTGAATGTTGTCTTGCTTTGTCACTGCAAGTGCCTCGTTTCGTGCATCCCCGAAAGAGACCATCCGACGTTCTTCATCAGAGACTCCGGACTCGTGGGGACGGCCAAGCCAAGCCAGTACTTCTTATAAATAGAGACTGGAAATGCCCACCAGACGAGGGAGGACTTCTAGTCTGCGCTGGAAGCATGTGGCAATTCTCCGGATACAGTATTCTGAAGTGCTGCCTCGAGGACCTAACTAAACCGACCCTGCACCTGGTCAATCCCCACGACAAACCATCGGGTCCTCCCAGCACTACAACGGTAGGTAGGGGACCAACGCACTTGGATCGACATTCGGCTGGTACGCGGGACCTGCTCTTTGCTGCGGTGCCGTCACGACTACTAGTACAGAACGGATAACCATACATCAGCCCCCCAGGATACAAATCAGTTCAACATGAACGCTTTCACTTATATAACTACCGTACACGGTTCCTGCTAAGTTAATCCTTATCCTGCTCCTTTGTCCGCGTCCTGAAGTTAGCTCTCCTCGTCTGGGAAAACAGGTCGTAGTGATCTGAAGTCGTTGCATGGTGCAGCAGAGTCTTCTTTTCCACCACATAATCGCCCTTGACAATGCCCACTGTGTTGTCCCGCAAGTCCCTAGGGATGGCACTGTCCAGGAATGCCCGAACGAAACTTTGTTTCTGGCGAGGCTTGGACTCTCCGCTTGATTCATCTAGGAATTCATCACTGAGGTCGCAGTCCGAACTGAGCTCTTCATCGTATTCCTCGGCGCCATCAAACCGACCGTCCTCGTCTACTCCTTCGTCGATTATACCGGTACCGTGCGACTCATTTAGCACAGGTTGCATTATGGATGGTGGGTGTTCCTGTGCTCGTGATTCTTGTGGAGATCGGGAATACTGGGGGTCAGACAATCCCTCCCACTCCGAATAGTGTGCTATTGATGAATGTGGAGTTGAACCCCAATCCGATTCCATGCTCTCAACACTTGACAAACGCATACGATTCGGGCTAATGGGACTTTCGACGTCTTCCTCTCCCGTAGGCGGATTCTCCCAGGAGAGTGACTCGACAACACCATTTCTTTCGGCAGAAAGAGTGGTCATTTCCAAATCGAAAAAACTGCGGTCGCCCTTGCTACCTCTGCTCTCGGAGTGAGAACTCTTGTCGTCACGCTGGTAGTTGCGCAGCACATGATTTGAAGGATACTGGTGATGACGACCCAGGCGTTTTCGTTGTTTCCACAAGTTTGGATTGGTTGCACTTTGGTTCAGAGCTCTGGCTCTGGCCTGGACAGCTTGTGGCGAATACTCCGAGTGAGGAAAGACCAGTGTGTGTACAATCGCCGCAAAGAACATTTCCACACAAATCAGGTAATCTTGGATGCCCTTGGCTACATCACCTGGCGACAGATCCAGCGGATTATAATGGGGAATCAACCCCCACTGATAAAGAAGCCCGATCCCAACGGATTGCCACCACGTGAAGAACACCAAAGCTTTCACGGAAAGGAACTTTCCTATGGGACGAATTGGTCCCAATTCGTTGTGTGTCGCGTAGTAGAATAGGATCAAACAGTACAACGCCCAGCACTGCGACAGGTTTGTCACTATGCAAATGTACAGGTAGCCACCCTTGTAGGTGAAATCTCCTTCCTTGTAAATGCCATGGGTTTCGAAAATGCAAGCCAGAAAGCTGCAAACGAATTTGAGCAGCACGTACTGCAGCACACCAAATTTGCATTGTACAAAGAATGGTGAATTCCAATGAACTCGTTTGAGACTATTCCGATGCCTGTGCTGGGGAGACGAAGCTAGTTTCTTTTTGTCCTTGTCGTTTTTGTCGTGTAGGTCGTCCGATCGCCGTACTGGCTGTCCCATTAACCATGGTTTGACGCACCATTGGAGTCCCCACATGTGACTTCCTCTTGTTGGGCTCTTGTCCTTGAGCATGAGAATCAGCGCTTCCTCGCCTCCCAACACTTCAATCAAAAACTGAAAAAAGCTGTAGAGAACAAAGCTCTCATAACAATCTTAATAAAAAGCGACACAAAGAAGATTGAGTACATTGCCATGGACATGTATGTCATCAGAGAACCCAGTTTGATGTGATGTGAGCTGCACGTACCTCGCAATGTCTCAATATAAATGGCCCACTGATGAAATCGTAAACACAGCCAACTTTCCATGCTGAGAGAAAGGCACAAAGATAAGCGGGGATTAGTCTAAATAAGCCAATACTGGATGGATATTTCCTTGCTTGCAGGAATGCAGTTAGTTTCTTACTTACCTGTACATGGGGACCATCCAGAGGATTCGCACGATGTAACATTGTACGTGGGGTTGGTTGTAATTGGCGAGATGCGCCACAATGCTTCCCATGCTCAACGGGAAGCCCAGCAACACAAAAGCTCCTGCAGAGAACCAAGCAATCAAGTGTGTATCGGTGCTATATATGTATATAATATGCAAGATAAAAACAGCCAAAAACGATGAATTGCATGGTGAGCCAAATGCTGAATAAAGGAAGACCATCAAGAGAGACAGTGTGAACACAAAAAAAGAACGGCACTCACCCATTATTTTTGAGTTCATAGGAATACCAGACCACACCGGCCGCCAAGGCAAACACGGAGAACCAGACAACGACCCGCGCCATGACATTCATACAACTGAGTGTATTGCGGACCATCGTTCGGTCGAAGCAGAGCGTCCTCAAGCACGTCGAGCAGAGAGCATCGAGTGGACCGCCTAGAGCCCCACTATTTGTGTATTCTAAATCCTTGTCCTTTTCGGACACATTGGATCCAGATCGATTGCGTCGTTTTCTCCGTCGTCCCCGGCGTCGTGCCACAACACTCGCCAGGCCTGCACTATTACCAGCCTGCAAGGATTGCGGTTGTTTCCTACCGAGCAATCGCTCTTGCTCTTTCGCGTCGGCATGATTGGATTGGATAGGCGTCGTGGCGGTGGATCCGCTGTTGATATTATTGTCGTCTGCTGCTTGCTGTTCCAAGTCATCTTGTGGGTTCATCCCCGTGCTGGCCGCTGTACATGTAGTCACTGTTGTGCCAGTGGATGCTAGCGAAGTGCCAGACACAGGGGCTACATCGGCCACTCCTCCTTCGGCACTCGCACTACTGCCGTCCAATAAATTCCGCCTTTCTTCTCGTTCTTCGTTCCTGTCATCTTCTTCGAGAAGATTGGACTGTAACGTTCGAAAGCTGTTCAACATTTTGGTAGACACCAAAACACGACAAAGCTCCAAAATTCAACTGATGATTCGTCAATGGCAGTTCTGCCTTTTCTTTCCTTGCACAACCGAAAGGGCGAACAAAAGTGGCTTCGTTTACACCACGATTCAAATGTACTATACGCTGTGACTAGCTATCGATAGTAGATCCAAAGGAATGCTTTTGCTTGCTGCTTGCTGCTTGAAGAAACAACAACTGGATGGTGTCACGGCTGGGGAAGGAAGATGGCGAAATGCGGCCCAATTTTCACTGCACCGCGGATTCGATTCGATTCGATTCCTACGGGCGACTCGCTGGAATTTTTACAGCTCCTCTGACTGAAATATCAGATGCCACGAACGGACAATAGTAGCGAAGCTGTCAAATAATTTTCTATGACTGGTACCGGTACGATGTACCTGACGTCCTGACGACGTTTCAGGAAACCAGGAGACTTTTTTAAACACAAACGCAAGAGGCCAACTCAACAACTCTTGGCTACTAGCTAGCTAGCACTTGCAGCAACTACATGTACGGCACCCCAAGTATCTGCACTATTTAAAAATTGAGCAGCTTTGAAGGGAGTTGGCATAGGCTCCTACACTTTTGCTGCTGCAGCGAGCCCAAGCAAACCTAACGTACAGAAGACTCGGAACCTATTGAATCGAATCTACCACTAAAAGCTAGAGCTATGTGAAACAATACATTCTAAAAATCTGCATTTATCAAACTCTCTCCAATCGCAATAAAACAGGCAATCCATTGATTTCATTGCGATGGAACACTTTTCACAGGCTGTCTTGATATCTGTAAACAGGCATTCCAATATCATTCTTGCAACCATACGAATCTACATACGAATCTACATGTACCGTAGCTAGCAAGAGTGGCTAAGTTAAGTAAGTTTACTGAAACAGGACATCAGCTGCTAAATTGCTAAAGCACAGGTTAGGCTCTCTAGATCTGGCGCTTTCTTGTTGTCTAACTTTTTGGTTTGACATGACTTGACTCGACTCTTTCATCTCCTCAACTATTACCAGTTAGTACTAGCTAGCTATTATTCATTCATTCATCCATGCTGAGCATAAAAGAGGTACGACTGTACCAGGGCATCCAGCAAGTCTCTAGTCAACAAGATACTCTGCTCAGGTCTCCAAGTCTATGAAACAGAAAGCAAGACACTTAGAGTAACATAACATATAGTTACTTTAATCATGTAAGTGGGGGGGTGTATCTCAGGCACCCATCCATGTAGTAGGCATGATGTTGGAACCAATGGTAGCTAGGAAGGAAGCAGGGATCTAATAAACTTCACTGTGCATCAGAACCTGATTCACACTGTTTCCAATTCCAGGATGCCTGAATACATTCACTGGAGGTCATATGTGGGAAATGCTGCAAGTGTTGCCTGCTAGATGTACCTCTTTCCATGTTACTTTCCAGCTCTGTTGAGGTCTTGGATGGAGTGGCATCTCCACCAAGGTCCTCACAGTGCTCACCCCCCCCATGATCAAGCGTTCTTCACAGATACAACCGAGGCAGTTGATGAAGGCTGTCCTCGGAAAACAGAGGCACATAGTGCCAAGCCAACATAAACAGAACTGAAAACATTCTGTTGCGACGGCGCTCTTCTCACAATTTTTCGGCCCTGATCAGACGCCATTCATTGTGAGCGCGGTTCGTCGTCGACTGACCCATCCGGCTTGAGCCGAGTTGGCGGATCAGTCTCGTTAAGTGTGAAACTCAACGTTGTGGGATTGCCGGCCTCGAGAGCCCCAGCCCACTCAATGTGTGGAACACGCTGCGGTATGCTCCAACCGAAACTACTTCCACGTAGTTTCTTGTGGGAATAGTAGGTAGACGCCTTTCTTCGATTTCAGTCGTAGGAATCGTAGGTGACTCCACGCCAGCTGCACTGAGGGCCGAGTTGTTAGAAACTGCGCAAGGGGACTTGACACAAATTTCTTCCAGAGAAGCCGAAAGGAAGTCGATTGCTCTCGTTGGTGTGAGCAAGAAAGCAGGAAACAAGGATCATGAGTAAGTAAGACGGCGGCAGAAAACAATCTGCCATGGCTTTCCCTTCATTTGTCCTGAATCCTCTTTCGATTCCCTTCCATCTTCTCTTCTGAAAGATAACAACAACAGCAACAACAATGCACTAGTCGTCCTTGGACGCGTGGGACAGGCCAGGAGTATCACCGACGACGACGGCTCGTACACCACCTTAGGACTAGCGTTGATCGACCATATGAACCCCCATTCTCGTCGTCGTGCTCTCGTCAAGCACCACCGTTTTCGAGCCAAGACCTTTCTCTGTGAGGAAGCCCGTCGTGTCCGGATCACAGTGGGTCGCCTGGCCATCACTCGCTACCAGGCGGCGATGCGTCAAGTTGGAGCCGATCCCGACGATGAGTAGGCAGCGGCGTGTGCTTGGCGCTCCAACGAGATTGCCGGTCAAATGGTCCAAGTGCGAGTCCAGGCGGCGGCGATCCACAACACGGCTATTCCACCTCCCCCTGCCAATCTCAACCCCATTGCCAACAACAACAACAACGGCCGCAACGGTGGAGCGGCTCAGGGAGCCGCCGGAAGAGGCGGTGGAGGAGGGAATCCTTGAGAAATCAGACCTCCATCCGAGCGCGTCTCTTTGCTTGATATTTATTGGCCTCGGGCATGAACGATGCGATGGAAACCACTTGGCTTCTTGTAGATGAGCTGAGTGACGTTGGAACCAGGAACCGGGTCCAACTCAATGTCCCATAACTCTGATGTCGGTGTTCGGCATCCTCTGATCGAGCCCATTCTGCCGCGGTACTTGTCCTTACGGGTAATTTCAACTCTAGTACCTCTCGCGAACAACACAGGCTCTTCGTCTTCCTCGTCTTCTAGCTCCAGAGCCGCCGGCTCCTCAACTATCCTTTGTAGTTCTGCTTGTAGTAGCTGGCGACGACGTCGAGTTCTGTTGGCTGCCATGGTGTCTTGGTCTTGGATAATGGGAAGATGTGATGGGAGAAACGACGGGTATCTTGTCAGCAATGAACCAGCAAGGTTGGCGAGCCACCAATGGCATCCGTGACCGGGTAATGACCGGGAGCACGCAGACCGAGTCGACAACGGTCACTCGGAAATCGCTTAGAGCGATTTCGAGAAGCGAAGCACTGTGGGAGCAATCAAGTCCAGTCTAGCATACACCTCCGGCATATCCTGAGACTTGATGGTGCCCTCCTGGTCAGACTTGTACTCTCCCCGCCATCTAGTGATGGGTGATTCTTGATGGGTCCCACCGGAGAGATGAGGAAGTGAGGTCCCATCTTGAGCACCGATCCTCTTCCATCTCCAACTTTGCGAGGCTGTTGATCGTGGCAGCTAGCTCCATGATGACCTGTTCCTCGCCCCGTAGAGCGGCACAGAAACCCACCGCAAACCAAGCTCCAAGGCGTGCTATTTTGTTGAGTTTCTCAGAGATGGCGAGATGTCCCTTGGCGACCTCGTCGCTTCAGTCCGCTTCGAGCATTTTCATGATTTCCAGCATGACTTGCATGGTGACGGGCTCGTCCCGCTTCACGACCTCTCCAACTCTTCGGTGCAAACCGATCATGAACCGGTGGAAGCATTTCGAGTGTACAGGAGCGTCTGAAATCCAAGTCTGGTGCCTCAAGTTGGTTCCCACCGTATCGCCCAAGCCATGTACCGAAGCTTGGTGATAGTTCGTCACCGCAGTGCGAATCTTCCGCATAGTGGACCACTGCACCTTGGCCTTGTACTTTCCGGGGTCGAGGGACTTATCAAGAACAGCGACTGCCACACCCATGCCAACAACATCCTCAAGAGGAAAAGGACCGAGCGGTAGGAGAAAGCCTTTCATGCCAGTTTTGACCTTTGTCTCGAACGCTCGTTTCAAGGTACGGAGATTGTCACACACGGTAGAAGACTCCCTTGACCAAAAGGCGATAAAATGTGGGTTGGATCCATGGGATCAACGTGGTGAGTGTGAGAACAAACTGTCTGCCTTATGTTACTGGTACCCATATGGTATGTGGAACATGCAAAGATATAGAGAATCTTGGTTGGTACTGGTGAGACACAGGCCATACATATGGAACCAGGGAAGCCCCATATGGTCCCATATGAAGGTTTTGACCACTGTATCACCCAGATGGCCATGAGGCGAGCATCTACTCAATCAGGTGACCTCAGGAGGATCCAGGAGCCTCAGTGTGGCTCAGAGTGTCAAATCCTGCATAACACCCAATTATTTGGATGCATGCTTTTGCTCATAGTCCTAAGAATTGAATGTATGAATTGAATACCATCTCCATAGACCTGTAGCTCCCTTGTTCCTTTGCAGTAGATACCTATCTTGTTGAGGCTGAGCAGTGGCATTGAGAGGTAAGCTGATAGCATTCGGCTAGGCTGCCCAGCATCGTGATAGAATAACACCGGTACCAGCTCCAGGAGCTGGAAACTCTGTAAGCAGAGGAGGCCCTGTGGCCATCCTCATCTCTTGTGGATCTACCCTGATCCTTTCAAGAAGTTATTGAAAGGCATCCAAATTGACTCTTCGAATGTACTCCAACAGCAACCGATCCTTTGGAGAGGATAGGCATGGGTCTCTTCCTTGGATGTTCCTGAAATGACACAGGTCACACTGGAACTGCACAAGGAGATAATCTCCGTCCCTGGCGGTAAGAAAACGATTTCCGTCACGGTCTCGAGATATCTTGTTTCCATCGTCGTCGACAACCTGTCTGATCCGGAAAGGAAGGGAGCCGAGGGGCCTGTAGCACGGCGAGCACCAGCAACGCTTACAAGGTGGAAAGGGTCCACGCTTCGCTGAAAAGTTAGCGCAGAAGATCCCGTTGAACCTTCCCATGAGCTTCCGGCACGTTGTCTCGGCACAGCAGCCCACCAAATCGTTCAACAATACTGTGTCTCTCGTTAAACCTTGGCCTGTGGACAAGATACGGCAAACAGATGAACATTAGTAGAGGCTCAAACTGAGTCGAGATAGGCCACCACTGCTCGTTGTCCAGTCGGTAGTACACATCAGCCGCCTTTCCCATCTGTTTCCTCCAACGACCAGTCATGATCCTAGGAACCACCACAATGTGAAGGGAGTTTGGGCGCTTGTGGCGGGCAACCCTCAAACGTTCTGCCACCAAGTCAGCCGCTGCGGGAGCAGCAAACCACACATGGGCCCCTACTCCTTTTATGGGGCCGAACCAATCCTCAGGCATGAGTAGGACAGGGGAGACATCAGCGAGAATGTCCCACAACCAATCGACAAACTCTGGCGAACGCTCGTCAACAGAGAGATGAAGAGGCACGAAGCTGATCATGTCAATGCCTCTCATGACACCGGCTCCATGGTTGCCTCGCGAGAGCCCATCAGTACCTTGGGCGATCATTCGCTTTCCACTCACGTGGATTACGTGCAAGTGCAACCCAGCATGTAACTCTACCATTCTCAGGCGGAGGACAAGATCCGATAACAGCTTGGATTTTGATGCCCCCTTCCAGTAAGCGGATTCGGCCATAGCGTTGTCGGTGAACATAAAGAGTTCGCCATCCGCGAGGAAACCAGCTCTGGCCTCGTCTTCAATGTACTCCACCAAATTTGTGAGCTCGTTCCAGTTAGACGATGTCTCGCTAACATCCTTTTCGGTCCACTGGCCGAATGCATACCAGACAATAAGTTTCTTGAAGGTT